GAGTGCGAATTTAAAGGGATTCGCTGTCATCAATTTACCTTCCCTTCATAATATACTGCGCGTATATTTTATTATAAAAGAGTATAGTTGTTGTTTTTAGTTTAGACTAGCTAATGGCTGCCGAAGTCGAGAATCTGGGCCTGAAAATGTCAATTTTACTAAGTAACCTCAATGGTGTTCTTGTACATGCACGAAATATCACGATCCGCGTGTACTGACGACAACTGTAAGGTCTGGGGTTCGAACCCTGCCTGATCCAAAATGTAACTCAAAATGTCCTCTGGTGAGATATTATCGCTGTGCAATAGTCCACATTTTGATATTGATCTGTTACCAAGTGAATACAGTCAGTATTGCTGAAAACAATACCGATACTTTTAATTTACAAACCATCTTATGTAGGGAACAGAAGTTTGTCATATTTTAAAGACCTGTAAATCACTGTGATTTTTTAAGTTCAGCAATAATTAGTTAACACAGCAAAAAAACTAAACTTTGTGTATTTTTAAATAGTTTTTTGTGTGTGTGTGTGTTGGGGGGGATTTGAAATGTAAATGTGCCTGTCTCTTTGGGCCAGCTTCTCTCGTTTAACTGTGTTATAGGCTATATTGTGCATGTTTGAGATTTTTTTTCACTTCCAAAATAATAATTAATTTCACACAATTCAGTGGGCTGCATACTGAACGTGGAGGACAGCATTAATCATATCATGCTAGTGTTGAACCGACATCAATACCATCGATATTTTGATCAGTCTCTACAAGATACTGAACCCCGAGTTTCCCCGAGTTTCTCCTGACGCATCTCTGTATGTGGATGATGGATGGATGTTTTACAGATGTAGTTACAGACTCACTCTCTTTTTTTTTTTTTTAAGTTTAATCCATTGTATCAAGCAAAGAATTTTCTGTTTTCTCTAAAATAACAGTAGATGCTCTGCTAAGCTAATGCCACAGGGTTCACCAACACAGGGGTGTGGCTAAAGTGGGCTAAACGGTGGCATCCTCCCTCAGTTTTGTCATATCAACGCAATCATGGGTGGAAATGATCAAAGTGAGAGAACATTGCACTCAACTGTCCACGAAGCACGATGTGTTACACTGTTCCTCGAATAAGCTACTGCAGGCACAGCGGATGATTGCTCGTGGCACTGACTGCAGAATTAGTGTATTCTTTAAAGCTGAAGAAGAAGAATTCCCCGTTTGTCAGATGACACGGGCCAAAGTGCAAAGGGTTGTTTTGAGAGACTGAAGAAGGCGCTCATTAAGACCACTGCTCTGAGTGAAAATGAGTCAGACAAACGGCCCTCTGTTAGGGTGCCATCCTGGAATGACACATGCACAGGCGCCCGTTTTCCTGCTCGCTGTATCATCTGACTTCGTGATCTCTTGACAGAGTTCACATAAAGTGTCGTCTCTACAGATATTCATAGTCCACAGACACGTGAGGGCATATTTTGACTCTCATTGTTAAAGACATATCTCCTTATTACTTGAGCGTCTCTCAAAATGAAGCTCTAAAAGGCAGTGAAGCTTGTGAGTTCAAAAGTGATTTCACCATCACATACTGACATATTGTAAGAAACCGAGGGGTCAGTAAAGGGACCATTAAAGCCTGTATTGTACTCCACTTGCCTTTTTAAATGGCAGCATTTGTCTCATTGCTGACCCTACCTTAACACAATACTTCCCCCTGGTGGGTATGAAGCTCTGCCACACCTTCACAGTGCTGTTTAATCAGTGCAGAGTAGACACACATGCATGTAAAGAATGACCCATCTGGACAGTCTTGATGCATGCTCAACCATCCAGGTAAGGAAATCCCAGAAAGTTGATTCTGTTCATCTGGATGAAGAGTTTTCAGTGGGAGAAACCTTTCCCAGTCTCAGCTGACTGCAGGTTTTACCCACCTTATAAACAGTACAGTGGGGCAAAAAAGTATTTAGTCAGCCACCGATTGTGCAAGTTCCCCCACTTAAAATGATGACAGAGGTCAGTAATTTGCACCAGAGGTACACTTCAACTGTGAGAGACAGAATGTGAAAAAAAAATCCATGAATCCACATGGTAGGATTTGTAAAGAATTTATTCGTAAACCAGGGTGGAAAATAAGTATTTGGTCAATAACAAAAATACAACTCAATACTTTGTAACATAACCTTTGTTGGCAATAACAGAGGTCAAACATTTACTATAGGTCTTTACCAGGTTTGCACACACAGTAGCTGGTATTTTGGCCCATTCCTCCATGCAGATCTTCTCGAGAGCAGTGATGTTTTGGGGCTGTCGCCGAGCAACACGGACTTTCAACTCCCGCCACAGATTTTCTATGGGGTTGAGGTCTGGAGACTGGCTAGGCCACTCCAGGACTTTCAAATGCTTCTTACGGAGCCACTCCTTTGTTGCCCGGGCGGTGTGTTTTGGATCATTGTCATGTTGGAAGACCCAGCCTCGTTTCATCTTCAAAGTTCTCACTGATGGAAGGAGGTTTTGGCTCAAAATCTCACGATACATGGCCCCATTCATTCTGTCCTTAACACGGATCAGTCGTCCTGTCCCCTTGGCAGAAAAACAACCCCATAGCATGATTTTTCCACCCCCATGCTTCACAGTAGGTATGGTGTTCTTGGGATGCAACTCAGTATTCTTCTTCCTCCAAACACGACGAGTTGAGTTTATACCAAAAAGTTCTACTTTGGTTTCATCTGACCACATGACATTCTCCCAATCCTCTGCTGTATCATCCATGTGCTCTCTGGCAAACTTCAGACGGGCCTGGACATGCACTGGCTTCAGCAGCGGAACACGTCTGGCACTGCGGGATTTGATTCCCTGCCGTTGTAGTGTGTTACTGATGGTGACCTTTGTTACTTTGGTCCCAGCTCTCTGCAGGTCATTCACCAGGTCCCCCCGTGTGGTTCTGGGATCTTTGCTCACCGTTCTCATGATCATTTTGACCCCACGCGTGGAGCCCCAGATCGAGGGAGATTATCAGTGGTCTTGTATGTCTTCCATTTTCTGATGATTGCTCCCACAGTTGATTTTTTCACACCAAGCTGCTTGCCTATTGTAGATTCACTCTTCCCAGTCTGGTGCAGGTCTACAATACTTTTCCTGGTGTCCTTCGAAAGCTCTTTGGTCTTGGCCATGGCGGAGTTTGGAGTCTGACTGTTTGAGGCTGTGGACAGGTGTCTTTTATACAGATGATGAGTTCAAACAGGTGCCATTCATACAGGTAACGAGTGGGGGACAGAAAAGCTTCTTACAGAAGACGTTACAGGTCTGTGAGAGCCAGAGATCTTCCATGTTTGAGGTGACCAAATACTTATTTTCCTCCCTGATTTACGAATAAATTCTTTACAAATCCTACCATGTGGATTCATGGATTTTTTTTTCACATTCTGTCTCTCACAGTTGAAGTGTACCTCTGGTGCAAATTACTGACCTCTGTCATCATTTTAAGTGGGGGAACTTGCACAATCGGTGGCTGACTAAATACTTTTTTTGCCCCACTGTATATTTGCATAATAACTGAAATAAGCACCACTGAATGAACAATGAGCTGTGAGGTCAGTTTCTTGATCATTTATAGGCAAATTGTCTTGTCCAGTGAAGAAGTGGAAAAAAGGGCTCTGTTATCCTGCCCTGAAACACCAAGTCATTGGTTCAGGTATGTGATGACACCTGGGTGAAAATCAAATTTCAAGACGTACCACAGTTCACTGATCACAGTAACTCGGTGGACCACCGCATTAAGATCATGGGGAAGGATATGAAAAATGACACGGGTAGCCTTCTTAGACTGTGAGACTCCCATCAGTAATGGGGGACATTTAAAATCATCTACTTGAGCTCAAACCGAGTGTCATCAGGATGCTACAACACAGAGCAAACACCATCCCCACAGAAACGGCGGCCAAATGTATATTATACATTTGTTTTGTATAATATTAAAAGAGGAGGACAACTGCTCCCTGAGCGAAAACCTTCAGTGATCCTTTATGTGTCAGGAGTATCAGAACAGCTGAGAAACATCTTCTCTAAACACCGGTCTCTGTGGCTTTCAAACCATGTGTCAGCAAATGTGTTTATTTTATGGTCTGCTCATGTCAAAGTTCGCCATCTAGTGGCTGAATAGCAGAAACACCACGTAAGGGCCACAGCAGGGCTTTTATTCCAAGCACTGAAGGGAAAGTCAAGTCAGTGAGTTCTGGATAGAAGCAACTAAATTACATTAAATTATTTAGCTGTTCTGCCACAAAGTAAAAAAAAATCAAATAAAAACCTCACCAAATAGTATGCAAAAACTTTTATTGTCAATCAGCACTTTGATATTTTTGTGACAGACATTTCAACCTATGCTGCAAAGACTCTGCAACAATATTAAATCCACCTTTCTGTCACGCACGATCAGACATGTCAGTCAGCCAGGGTTGTGCTTTTTAACCAAGACACCGCGTCAAATGCTTCACGCCTCAACTGATGTTCCAGTAATCAAGCTCCTCAAACATGTCGCAGTCACAGATAACTGATTTTTTTCTTTCATGAGGAACCCGTCTTCTACTACAGGGACCATAAAATGAGACCCGTACAGTGAGCGATGCTGGCTGCGAAAAGAAGAGGAAAACATGCCTGAAAGAATTTTGAATAGGAAAGTTCTCTGGAACAGAAATTATAAGTAATGTTGTGTATTGTAAAGTGGCCAGAATCTGAGATTCCAGTAACGCTGCATTTACCCGCTACATCATTGCTGGAGGAGAAATGTTAAAGACTGCAAGGAAGCAACTGTGGTCAAATCCAAAAATCACTTTTTAGAGAAATGTCCTTTCTCATTTGAAAGAAGAAGAAGAAAAAAAAAAAAAAGAGCCTTTTTTTTTTTTTAAGTAGAACCTTTTTTTTTTTATATATATATATATATTATATTTTATATATATATATTATATATATATATATATATATATTATATATATATATATAATATATATATATATATATATACATAAAAACTTCATACAAAGAAAAGGTAAATCACAGCTCCTTAACTGGCAACAATTGAGGTTTTGACATTAATATAACAACATAATACTGTCAAAGACTAAACACCATTATAAATATATACCTATTTACACTCAGATGTTATTTACAATGAAGTAAACACAATCGTGCAACAAACATGCTGGACTCTGTTCCTAAACAGAGTTTTTGCTTTCAAAGAGTCAATCTCACAAACAGATTGACAAATCAGCTAAAAGAACTCAGGAAACAACCTCTTAACCTATTTTAAAACTACTCTGAACCAAAAAAAAATAAAGATAGAAAGAAAGAAAGAAAAGAATAGTAGTTTTTGGTCTTTGTGTTTTTCTGCTCCTCAGTTCAAGTCAATTGAAACATGACCAAGAAATATGCAATCTTTCATATTCCTGATTTCATTGGTTGTTTTCCTGAGAGTCAGCGGCTGTTGAGCACAAGCAGTTTCTAAAGGAAAGAGAAGGAGTTCTGTAGACAGCAAAGAAATAAACAGCTGGTGGTTTAGTGTGTCCACACCTCATGGGCCCACAGATGATTGTGGCGGAGCCAGCGGCGGGCAGAGGGAACGTCCAGCATGAACACTTGTTCTTGTTCTGAGTTGACTGCTGTGTAATGGACTATTAGTTTGGGCTGAGGGATACAAGCTGCAGAGAGGAGGCGGCTGCCAGCAGAGAGGTACTCGCTCTCACAGCTTTGAGTCCTGGAAGAGGAGAAAGCACGAACATCACGTACCACTGCAGTCGAATCTTTACACACACTAACCATGGACAATCTTTTTTTTATAATTTTGAATGCAAAGAGTTCTTTATTTCTGGGTGAAATTATCACATATCAAAGTTAATTGACATCAATCCAGCCCCCCCCAATGCCAATATTTCACTGATTCCATCTGAACAGACTCCTTATACACAAAAACACAATTTACCTTTTGAGAGTAATGGTGAGAGAAGTAATGGGCTCTGATAGGTGGTGAATGACTGTTGCGTTGACAGTGATGAACATCTCGAAGGTGAGAGCCAGCTCCACCTCCCCCAGTCGACAGGGGACAATCAGTGTCATGAAACCAGGGGGAGCTGAGACTCCAGGGTAGTAGCCCACACTCAGAGAATCTAATGAACATGAACGCAGCGAGCACACCTCAGAGTCTAATCTAATCCAAATCTTTGACCATTTGTAAACATTAGCTGAGACTGATCAGACTCAACATCTGGTGCCGTAATAGAATCTGCAGCTGTTTCCTGCCTTTGACAACTCACATTTATGATGCAATGATGTAAGTGTAGCAGTAAAAACCAGAGTGTGGTACTTACGTTTGAAGACTTCCCGAGCCCGGAGCCAGAGGTTTTGCTTGCCCAGTTTCTGTAAAAGTATCCGAAGCACTGTGTGGTCAACAGCCAGGTTTTTAGAGAGCATAAAGTCCACCGTGTCTGAAGCCACAGGAAGTATCTGCCTGTCCACACACACTTGAAGGTGAGAGTTAAACAAGGGGCTGTACCTGGAGATATCCATCGAGTCTGGAGAAAAAAGAAAAACCTCTTTATCAACTAAATTTTTCTCACAGCTGAGCATCTATTAGCGCTAGCAAACACTGTACAAAATTAAACCAGCACTTTCTAATCAGAGTGTAGCGAGTCAGTTAAACTTGTGGGATACTGATCTGGCCAGTTTAGTAGCAAAGCTGACTAACCTGCTGTATCATTGTTTGTTTGTTTTTTTAACTTTAATTTCAGCTCTCTGTAGGTTACTCACCACTTGACTCTTTAACTCCAGGAAGATTACAGAGAAGCTCCAGCGTGTCTCTGTGAGAGGTTTTTTCAGCCAGACGTATCAGCACACGAGTCCTACTCTCCAGATCGGCAGGCTCACACGGCCATGAGGACGAACTCAGGAACCACTTGTTTTCTGGATTAACAGATGTATAAACAAAATTTAAACAATTCAGCAAATAACTGGTTTCACAGTTCTACAACATTACCTACAAGACTATGAAAGCTAGCATTTCTCAGGGCAGCGAGACGACTATCACTTTTAAGGTTTCCACATAAAGTCTGAGGACATAAAACCAAATTTGCTTTTACTGATTTACAGGGAAAGAACTTTAAGTTTGTGAGTGTTAAGAAAAGACATTAATGGAAACCTATTATTGAGGATTGTGCAAAGTCTTGAGTCATTTTTTACACTTTCCTCGCAAGAAGCCAGACTTGTCTTTGTTACACAACTGATCCTGAGCAGCAGCTCTCAGCACTTTCTGATGGTCATTCAAATCTGTCTTTTAGACATTGGTTGCTTTTCCCCTCATCTTCAGCGCAGTCCTTGCACCTGACCACTTTCTTGTTTGCAAAGCTACTTAACACTGACATAGAACTCATCCAGGCATAAAATGATTCATAATGGCCCATACATATCAGACAATTTCTGACATTGATTCTTCAGGCACTTTGTTTTTAGCAGCCAGTCACAAAAACAAAAGAAATCATGTTTTCATCTTAAGAGCTCAGAAAAAGAAGAAAACTTCAGTTCTGATCCGAAAAAGCCTCTTGGATCAAATGTCTTGACAAACGTAATGAAGTCTCCTTTTTTCCAAGCTCTTAAGACTACCATGAATGAGAAACTACACAGACATAATTTGTTCCCATTTCTTTATGCCAAAGATGACACAGTTTAGACAGGCGCAAAATAAAATCTTTGGGATTCAGCTTGTTGACACAAACAGCTATTAGCTGTAAAGTTGACATATCTCAGCACCAGTTAAAAGTTGGCCCTTTAGTTGACTTTGCTTTGCCAATGCAGCATAAATCCCATTTTTATTCGAGCTGTGAAACTCTGCACTTATAAACCATGAAAATAAAACGCTGGTTACATTTTAAGCATGACGACATTAGCTAAATAAACATCGATCAGCTTCATGAGTCACTACCTCGGAGTGTGTTCAGAGCTCCCTCCACGCTGCCACTCAGGAGGAAGACCTCTGCAGCCACAGTGATCAGGCAGCATCGTGACGCTCCGTCCTCGTTCCCAAACAGACCTTTCAGAGTTGAGAAGCCGACTTTTAAAACAGACAGCGTCTCGACCACCCTGCGACCCTGCATCAGTAAACATGACACAGACAAACAATGACATCCTAAATTCGAAGATGCTGCTCAGATGTGACGAGGAGAGTGTGATGCGAGCTGCACGGCCTGATTACCTTGGCCCACTGATGCGTTTTGTGGTACCGTAACATCAGAGAGACTCCAATTCTGCCTACGAAACTCCTCACCATGCTGTCCTCACTTTCATTCTGACACACTAAAGAACATTTGAATGAATAAATAAATGAACAGCTACTTTTTTCCCCTCCAGATTGGAATCTGGAAGGTGCTAGTACACAGAACCACACTGGGAGAAGAAAACTGATGTTTATCTCTACTTAGAGCTTTTACCTGTCTCAGCAAATACAGAAAAGGGCAGTGACAGCTTGTCTTTGCCCTCAGACAGGAGCGCGACAGCAATGCGACCACTGATGCGCTCCACTTGGCTGGGGTGCTGGTTGGACTGGCAGATCCCTCTAAAAACCTCACCTATCCTCCTCCAGTCCTCTTGTTTCATACAAAGCTGACACAGACAACAAATACAACAAATACACACATGAGCACAACGCACCACCATCTTTACAGACAAAGCTGTCAAAAGATGTGAAGCTCTTACCTCCATTTCCACAATGGAATGGGCTAAATTCAGGTACTCTGGAAACGGTGCACCAGAGGAAACCCTTTAAGAGTGAAAATAAGAATTATAAGAGTTATGATTAACAAATGAAAACAATTGTGAACTTTGTGGCTCACTCACTTGTTGTTGCCGGACACCGAAGGCGAGTTTGGATGAATCATTTGCTGGAAAAGAGGAGTGTTCCTTACACAGTCGAGGCAGTCCAAACTCAGCTCTAGTCCAGCGTTGGCCATCTGTAAACATACAGACAGGTAGTCTAAATTCTTCCAGAGGCACATAAAGCAAATGAGCTAAACTCAGAGCATAATGAAAGGCAAACAACTGATACCTTGAAAGTGAGCTGCATGAGTTCAGGCACAAAGCCCATCACACCCTTTTCTCTCACGCAGTTAAAAAGGGAGAGGAGGAACTCGTGGCTGGGCTAAAAAGAAAACAAGATCAACGTCTAATCTCGTGTCAGCATCAATCAGTTGTTTAGTTTTCTCCGTGGTTAATGTCAGGACTGCTACACTGACCACTATGTTGTGAGCCAAGCCAACACTGAGGACGGAAAAGACCTCGGACAACATGCCAGCTTTCAGCAGAGCCCAGAGGAGGGAGAAAAATATCGGCAAAGAGAAATACACTCCTGGCGGGTTTTTCTGGTAATATCCTGTAAACACAGCTCCTGAGGAGAACAGGGGTAGAGCAGGAGAGGAGAAAGGAGACCGATGACGCAGCAAAGATGGGCAATCAGTTTAGCATGCAGCGTGCACAAAGGCTGTGGGAGAAAAAGAGAAGTGGGAAGGAAAGGAAGGAAACTCACCTGCTTTCTGAAGGCACGTTGGATTTTTGATGAATCTTGTCACGTTTTCAATACAAAACTAGCAAATGAAAAAGAAAGTGTGCAATTACAGCGATGTCACAACAGAGGGTGATGTTGGCCCTGCAATCTCCAACAATTCAATTTGATTTTTTAAATTCAAGATTAAAAACATAAAATGTACACAATACACAAACAATTTACTGTCTTTGGTGAAATCAAGAAAAAATAAATAAATAAATAAATAAATAAAGTAAAAACCACAGAGTGTACCTTTTCATCCCCCTCCATAGGCAGATGTTGGAAGCGACACATTTTGAACCCGCAGGTCAGTGATTCACTGAAGTACAGCCTGCAGTACTGGGCATTTAGACAGCATCACACAGTCAAGTTATAGCAATGCAATTCACCCACAGTGCAAAACATATTTATTGTACAGAAGAACGAACTGTACATCTACAGTAACCACGGCGACATTAGTTTAATTCTTTTGGGAAACCTCAAGCTGAAACCGAATGATTGTCAGAGCAGACCGTGAAACTGAGGCCATTTCTGTTCATGGTTTAGAAAATGGAAATCGTGCTGTATTCAGCAAGGATTCATTAGTTTTAGAGACCACAAACTCATCAGTGAGTTGTTTACTGAGGTCAGAGATTTAAAGGTATTTAAGATTCATTTTCAAAAAGGCCACATCCATCTTTATACACAGACTATGGAAAGGACCCTCATATCTCCAGATACTGTATATATGACAGTAATTTCTTTATAAGTTTAAAATTAGTTGTCCTACTAGAACTTCCAAAACCAGTTCTGACTTTTCCAGATTTATTTCAGTTATATTCTATTAAATAACTGGAAAGTCCAATCTATGCTAACGCCACCGAACATGTATTTAAACTGAGCATTTTTTCAGTAGCAACATGGTAATATACAAAGGAACACTTACAGAACTTGATTTCAGGCGCCTAAAATCCATCATGTTTGCGGAGTTTGTGATCCATGCCCCTGCTTGGAGACCAGAAGAGCCAAAGAATAAAGTAACGCTGAGCACTCACATTGGCAATTAAGTTATAAAATGAGGAGTTATTAGTGAGAACAAGATAAACGCAACAGCAATTAAAGTTCATTGTCTGAGCCCTTTTCATTCTCCCTCACCGGTTCCCATGGACATGAGTGGGGGGATGTTTTGAAAGGAGTTCACCGTCTTGATGGGCTGGCTCCTGTTACAGAACATAAACAATATGATGATCGCGAGACTGAAAGATTAATGTGACAAATCAAAGATCAGGTCATGTGCACTAAGCAAACTGGTACCTTTCTGGGCCACTATTTACATGACTGCTGTTGGTATCAGATTGAACCTATTGGAGAAAAAAAAAAACAACAACACATGACAGATACACTATTGTGCATTTATTATACTTTAGAAGCAGGATAACGTATGAAACACCCATTCCTTTGAAAATAAAATTATTTAAATTCAGTATTTGATGTGTCAGATCTTTAAACATTGTCCCTGTAATACATCAGACTCAGTGCTCTGTAAAATGCACAGAGAGCATTTATGCAGAAGAAGCCCTATTAAAAGCCCTGCCATGTTTTTCTACAAAACCTCAGGGAAGTTAAAACCACTGACGTGCACGCTGCTCCTTTCTCTATCTATCTGATTGTGCAGAGGACCCATTACTTTACCACATGTTTGCTTTGCTTCTCAGTGGAGGTAGGGCATGTGTCGCTCTGTGTTCCAGTATGGGTGCTGCTAGAATGAGGTCTCCATGGCCTGCTGTTACTCTCCTCTATAGGATTTGAAGAAGAAAAAAAACAATCACAAGTTAATCTCTGGTCTACTGAAGTCTGTTCCAATCATAGAGGGGAATTTTTTTTAAAGTATGTCAAAGTTTTGGGTCATTTCAGGCCATTGTCTCCATTATAATGGCCATTATCAAAGTTAGTTGAGTTAGGCATCTTAAAATTTCCACTTACTAACTAAAACGTCTGAGACAATAACTTGAAATTTTGAACAAACATCTGTACTGGACAAAATATAATCACATTTACCACATTTCATCTCTCACAAAAGGACCACAAGCTTTGAAACTCGTGTAAGAAAATCAACTTACTGCACAATATTAACCAGAAAATCAATCCTTTAAAGCTTAATGGCGATAAACAACTTAGACATGTTGGTATTTTCATGTGGGACATCATAAGCAGTCAGTTAAATATAAAATGCAAAAAAATTTAATTTCCTTTTAAAAGCAGTGAGTTTCTCATTTAGGAGCTGTTGGGATTTTCAGTAAGCTCCGTAAAACCAGTTTACATGTCTCTCTAATCTTTGAATTAAAAACAGTTTGAGATATTAGGAGCAATGCAAGAACTAAGTAACTTAGTAATGTACTGCTGCAGAGGTGCCAAAGTGGATTTTAGCCACATAAAAGAATCAACCAGGACATTTTTATTGCTTTAACTGCAGTCGGACTGCTCTTTCCAGCAAGTAAGTGAATCCATAAAACTCCAGACTCCAGCTGTTTATCTATATCTGTAAAAAACAAAAAAAACAAGCAGCTTTCTCCATTTCTTTCACAGCAACTAGGGCTGTGTGATATGACCAAAATCTCATTTCCCGATATAAGACATTTATCATCCCAACAATGATAAATATCACAAAAATTTTACATTTTCTGTGAATTTCGGGCAACTTGACTTGCGTGAAGTGGCTTCAGCTGGGCACCGATGCATTAAACTACATTTTAAGGCACAAGTTGAAACAGCCACAGTTTTATTTGTGAGCATTTATTACACGGCGCGCTGCAGGCAAAATCCTGTTCTAAGGTTTATTTTTTAGCACCTGACGGCTCTTTTTAGCTTCTTGTCCGTAAACACTCTGCATACTATTTCATGTGATTCGGTTTATTTTGAAAAATCTTAACAGGATCTTCAGCTTTATTGTGAAAGGTTTATTTGGAAACTAAGCGGACGGCGGAGCCACGCGATAGTTTTACTGTCATTGTTGCTAATGACAACACATAAAAGCAGTCGCTTGTCCGTCCGTAGTGTGGTTATATTAAATATAAGAGAAAGAGAGAACTTAATTAAAATTAATTCTACAGTGACCATCAAAACCATGAAAAAAATATTACCGTAAACAATTTATTTTGTGACACCACGAAACAAATGATAGAGTAAAATGAAACAATAGATGTTTTCATATGGTCATCTGATATATATCATTATATCGAACAGCCCTAACAGCAACCCTGTTACTTTAGATCATAACAGGTAAAAATCACAGACTCTGGCTGTCAGACGAGCACTGCGTCCCATCCATGTGGCAGAACTTTAGGTTGAGTCACAAACACTGACATGCCTTTACTTTTACCGAGCGTTCTACTGTTTTTACTTATTTTCCTTTTTTAAAATGTTTAGCTTCTTTTGTCTTATTTTCACTTTATACATATCGAAGGAAACAATAAAATATAGAAGACACTGTCATCATGGCTCAGTTTCTCTGCGCACTGATCGTACCTGTGTTATTGGGACTGTCACAAGGCAAATCCACAGTAACTGGAGCCAATCTAGAACAAAAGTAACTTTTATTTATAAAGCATTCAACAATTAATCTGTCACTTGCAGGACTTAATGTTAAATATAAGACCTTACCTCTCTTGCAGCTCCTGTGACGCTCCATCTCTTCTTGGAGTATTCACCACAGCAGCAGGTTTGGTTCCCGGAGCCTCGGCAGCTCGGGTAGGACCCAGCTTCAGCAAACTTTGATCAGGCAGGTTGTCAAACAGTTCTGGGTCGTCCTGGATCACGTCAACAAGCAGGATGTCCTGTTCGTAGGCTGTTAACTCGTCCAAAATGCCAGGCTGAGAATCACCAGCTGCTTCTCCTTGGGTTTTATCCTCTTCGCTGTTTGCTATTTTAGACGGGCTTGATCCCTCTTCTGTGTCTGAGTGTGATTCTCCATCACTCAAGGCCGCACCGTTCTTTTCGTCGCTGCAGGAAGAAGAGCAGGGCTCTGTCAGAACACCTGAGCTAAGGCTCGGCTTTATTTTACGATGTAAGGAAACTTGTTCTGAAATTCGGTTACCCTGCTCCACATCATCCTCGTCATCACTTTCTTCTTCACTGCTGGGAGAAGACTGAGGTTCCCTTGGTGTCTCAGGAGTTGTAAAGTCTGACAAGTCTCTTTCCAACTCTTCAATATGGTGCTCAAGACAATCCTTGCAATTATCATTTTGTGGCAAGTTGCTCACATCTTTGTTCATTTCTTCCTCATCTGTACTGCTTGAGCTGCAGCACGAGAAGCTTCTCTGGCACAACTGCCGTTGTGGTGAATGGACAGGGGAGAGCAAAGGTGGAAGCATGAATTCATTCAAGTCTGACTCTACGCAGTGTTCCTGGGAGATGCTGCACAATAGTGAACCCACTGAAGCATTGCCCCTAAACGAACTTGCACAATAATATGGGTCCAGTCTGGGGGGGCTCCTGCATGGGAATGGTTCCTTGTCATTTTCATATTCATCTTGAGGAAGGACAAAGGATTCACATGTATGAAAGGAGTCAGGGCTGTGCAGAGGAACATTGGGAGAGGAAGAAGCTGTTTGGGCTTCTTCACAGGAGGACAATATTTTGTCAGCAACATTGACTCTCTTGGGAATAAGCGATGAAGGTGGGAGAGAAGATGTTGTGGCTGAGAGGCTGCTCATGCTGCCCTGTGTGAATGGAGATGACATAAGAGACAGAGTGGTGGCAGTGTCCCAGTCACTCAGGCCGAGGACTGAGGGGGAAGGGGTCGATATGGAGGTGACAGTTTCTGGTCCATTAACTAGCAAAGCCGAGGCTGAGACTCCATCAGTGCCACGCTCCCTTCCACACTGAGCTGGAGGGGGGAATGATGCCGTATCTGAATTAGGCCTGGTTTCTAACTCTTCAGGCTGGTTAAACAGCGGTGAGGTCTCCATGTCTTTTCTGTGCCTTTTCTCATTTCCCTGAGCAAAAGCGCTTTCTCCATCCTCTTCCCATTTCTCTGTAGGTGCCCTCGGGGGAATGTCCTTGAACAGGTTACTGGATGAACCTGGCATACTTTGATTAGCTGTTGCAGAGTCAATCCCATCCTTTGCTGATGGATCAATAGTCCCTGCTGTGGTAGAAGCATTTGCTGTGCAAGTCTTTGAGAAAGGCCAGGCCATGTAAGTGCGTGCACATGAAAAATGTATTTTTCTCAAATACGCCCTTACTCTCTGGCAAGTGTACGACTCTGGTGCATCTGTATCCTCGTCACTAACATGATCGATGAGATCTGACAACACGTGTGATCCATCAGCATTTGTGGGATCGCCTTTCTGACCACCTGAAGCGCTACACTTATCGGTGGGCGCAAAGTCCAAAGTGCTGCTGCACTCAATGCTATCCCCTACCTTTCCTTTTTCTCTACAAGTCTCTGGGCTTACTGGATCTGATCCTGGACCAAGGTCCACTTCAGCATCTCTGTCACGCATGCCACCTCTGCAGTTGCCTGTCTTTGTATGCTCATCTAGTAAAAAAGAAGCAGAACAAGTTGCAGAGTCTTCGCCTGTCTGACTCCGGTGGAAAGGACTCACGGTATGATGGGATAATGGCTGTGAATGCATGCCTTCATCCAGGTGGTTCTGGCGGATCAGACTTTGAGACTGACAGACGGTCTTCTCATCCTGAGCACTTGGACAACACTTGCTACTTTTAAACAGAGCCTTTTTCTCAGTTTCTGATTCATTATGCCTTAAACAAGTAGGCCAAAACCGTATTGAAGCTCTCATCTCCTGCTGGAAGCAACGCACAACCTTGTTCTCGAGAGCATCCGGTAACACATACCCACAATCGTGACCGCAAGCTTCACATTTTTTGGCAACGTCACAAAGGATCACTTTGGGATACTGGTTTATCCACACGATAATCTTCTTAGAGCTCTGAGTGATTGTGTTTTCTTTTTCGATTTCTGACTGAGTAGCAGGTGGCTCTGACCCTGGGCTAGCTCTTTTTAGCTTACCCGGCGCCTTGCGCTGAGGGGAAGTGTATTTACATTCCCCACAGACACCACAGTGGGAGGCTCCGACGGCTCTTCTTAGTAACACTTCTGAACCAGTAAGACCGGAGAGGTTTGGCTCTTTATGTCTACCAACATCTGCAAGTGGAAACAAAACACTTGTCAGAGAGTGCAAAACGAAATAACAATGATTTACCTAAGCATCAGAAAGAAACATCACCGTAGCTTTCTTTCCTTTTTTCTTTTTCTTTTTAATAACTGCTTTTCAAACAGCATCGATTCCAATCAATATCGGCACCATTTGGGATCATCTCATTCACCATCTTGAACAAAGGCTTAGAGCAATGACTGATTTCATTAGAGGCAGGAAAGTCAAACAGACCAGTTAATCACAGAGGCATCAAACGAAAAAAACCTGAACAGAAATCAAGAAAATCAATCAAAATTTTAAAACTGTGTATATACTGTATATTCTGTGTATTTATTATCTCACTCTTATTGCCTGTTTATGCCCCGTCCTTACCCTCAACGTCATGCTGCTCTGGTGTACCTTAATTGCACCTTGGGGATAAATAAAGTCTTTCTGATTCTGATTTTGAAAAGCCAAACCAGGAGATATACGAACCAATCGTGTTGCTGCACTGAGGAACGTGGATGACGTCCTCACATATATCGCGGTGGATATATTTACTCATGGATCAATTAAATCAACAGTGTCTATTCAAATGAACTAGAATGGCATTTGCTCAGTGTTCTGTCAGGATGAGCAGGGACCTTTTTTTCCCCCCCGCATATAATTTTAAATTCTGATGACAACTCAAAGTTAAGATGCTCTCTTTGTTCATTTAGGTATAGGCTTCAAAATCAGCTGAGATGGCTTCTGAGTCACGGAGACTTGCTTCTTGAAGAACTTTGTTAGGATTTGTCCTTCTTAACGTCTCACCCTTGAGAAAATAAATAAAATAAAAATCGATTTTCATATCAGTTTAATTTACCGAATCTACCCAGGCACAACCTTTTTTTGAAGGCTAACCCATAACTGATTATAATTGTGACTGGTACAACAAAAAGGCAGAGAGGTTTTGAATTATGTCAGAAAATAAGCTCCATAGGAAATAAATGAAGACACTAAATTATAACACTTTTGTTAGGCCATAAATGTTCTGTGTTCAGTGCAATGACACTGTACACATAATTTACCAGACAACACCTTCTCTGGGACAATGGACATCATTAAAAAATGTAAAAATAAAAAAAAAAGATTCACAATTGGGGCACTATTTACTGAAGTATTTCATATTGCAGGAAAAAAATGTCTAGAGCTTGTGTTAACCAGAGATCTTATTTCAGACATCTAACCAAAATATCACTCAAAAGATTGACTTTAGGGAACTTGAAATACAAAAATGTAAATGTGTGTTAAGGTTTAGAGAAAGAAAAAAAAAGCTCTTACTTTATAACTGGTTATGATTTAGTAACAACGACTGACTGAGCCTGGAAAACATACATTTGGTTAACGTTCCCACTTCTAATAAAGAACTGTAAAGAGTAGGTTCACTAAGCTTGAGTGGCAGCTATGTGGAACAGCTTCCCAGGCTGTGAATGAGACAATCCCCAAATTACCCAACTGAGGTTTTGTCGATATGTGAAGCACTAACCAGGTGATATTAAACTGCCTGCCATTTGGACGTTTGACTATCACGAGCAAGTGAATAAGGCCTCAGTCACACAGGCCTGCAACCATCAGTAATGAGGGAAAATTGAGTACTCCAGCCAGTTTTGACTGGATGCTAGAGGTTAATGGCATTCACTAAAGGATTGCTGATAAACCGGTGCGAGACCCCCTGGCAACCACCTGCTACTAGGGAAAAAGGTGTATTCCCCAAACATTTGGATGAAACATACTTTTGACTGCTTTGGTCACTGGCATAGTACCGGGATTTTGGTTTAAATGATAGCGAATGACTTGCATAGGCTGAACTTTTACTTTCAAGACCATCTTCAGGTTTTACTTCAGCTGGGAGAGCAGTATTTGCAGACAAACATGAAAAACTACAGGCAAGTGCACCATCTTTTTGAGCAACGTTCAAGAACATAAGAACCACTCCCAAAAAGTGTGGGAATAGGCATGTTTCCCTAGCAACCGGTGGTACTATCACGTCCAATATGGGGACAAATCTGTAACAACATTGTTTTTATACACTTTATAAAATAAATAGATTATATTAAAAAACCTTAATAGGAATATACAGCCGGGGATTTATTTAGTCAATCTAGCTCATGTTCAGCAAGTAAGACGAGTGCCAGCTATATGAACAGGAAATGTATCTGCTATTAGCAGGCTGCTAGTTAGTGTATAATTAAACTCCATCAGCTCCAATCCGGGCAAGTAATAGCTAAGAAGATCCTTCATGTCAGGTTCAACCATGAACTGCATGATATCCACTAAAACTGGATCGTGTTCAGTAGGACTTTACCACATTGTTAGCTTAGCATCTGACACAATTTGGCACAAATTAGCAAAGAGTTAGCTAAAAGCATAAACCTATCACAAAACGCCCAATTGTACAATCAATTTAAAGGCAGTGCAATTTAACCAACCTTAAAACCTTTAACCTTAAAAACTCTAACTTATAATCCAGCTAAAGTGCACCTTACTTGGGATTCCCTTCGCACTCCTCCCGATTTTGCAGAAGCAGCAGCGGGCTGAGGATCACACCCGGCGGACGTGGCCTTCACTGAACTCCGTCCCTCTCTAACACCGACCCTCACGCTTTTAGCCCGGGGTGCCACACCACTTTTACCATTAACGTCGCACTGTCTGAAAGGACATCTACCCGACGTTAAATCGGTCTGTCTCCTCCTCCTGGCCAGAGTCGCCTGGCTTGTCAGCTTCATTTGATATTTGGACCTTTCACTCCTTGGATTCGTCCTACCGTGGAGCCGTTTGAAAACACACCAAATAAACCGCGGTCTGAGGCACGTGTTTCTGACCCCCCCTGCTCTGTTGATACTTGCCTCTAGTGTTCGGCCCGTCTTGTTTATCAGCGCCTCGTGACTCAGAGTCTACTTTACTCTTTGTTTTCTGCGTACCTGAGCCATTCTCCTCCGGCTCCTCCTCGTCGTGAGTGCTCGGCGGCTGTGTCTTCTTTTCGGAACCCATTGTGTGCGTTAAGTTTTGGTCGGGTTCATTGCTGCCCGGAGGTGACACCATATCTTTCTCTGAAATTAGCTGCACGGAATCAAAGTTTTTCTCTTGTTTTTTGCTTTCAGCCGAAATTCTATTCAGTAACTTTGGGACTCGTCTCCGCCGCGGGGTCAGCTGTAACCCAACAACGTCTTTTAGCGCAACTCTGTTGAGTTTCACCCTGCTAGAAGATGGAAACATGCTAACAGTTAAAACTGTGCCTTCCAAAACTTATTAAATAATTTACCAGGCTGCTATAAAAGTATTTTTCAGAGTAACGCTGGAACTTGTTCTTCTTAAACCATCATTACGTTACTATTCGGGGCCCTCGCACTCGTGTTGCTGCCGCTCACTGTTAATTTGAGATCGACATGGGGAGCTAAGGTGTGCCCGAATCATTGCGCATGCGCAGATCATTTTGCGTTTCTTAGCCGTCCTACGCACATTGCCAAATAGCTTCTATAACTATACTAACTTTTAACCAGAGGTGGCCCAACTATAGATATTCTGTACTCAATTAGAAGTGCACATACTTGTATTAAAATACTCTTGTAATACTCTTGTTAATGATTTAACCTATTCACTCAAGTAAAAGCAACAAAGTACAGGCTCTGGAATGTACTCAAGGGAAAAGTAACAATTGAGTACGCTTCTACCAGGAATTTTGGTCTAAAGCCAACAGAATCTCGCACTATGTTAATATAATAAAATCATATTAATTGCTGTGAACACAAACTTATTTCAAAGAGAATTTTAATTCTAATGATTGTGCATTAGTTCTCCAGGCTTTGGTCTTTCAAAGTCTTCTCTGGACATTGGCTGCTTTTTCACTCATTTTCATTCTTGTCCCTGTATTGGACTATTTTCAGAGGAATATTTTCATGTGCTAAATGACTAAAACTTGACCCATGAATCATTGAAGAGTTAAGAAAAATGGTACCAAAAAGCCTGCCAAAAACTCTCCACAGCAGACGAACAGCAACTGAAAGTCATGTATGTAAGAAACAGGAAAAAAACCCAGCAATGACCTGACACAGGACGTGAGACATGCATCTGGCCCTTCAGATGATCCATCTACTGTTCACTAAAGCCTCGTCAGAAATGTTGCAAGTGAAAGGTTGGCTGTAAAGAAGCCGTACCTAATAAAGGGAACTGGGAAGAAAAGGCTTATGTATGCCAAATTACAAAAGAAGTGGACTGAACAACATTTCTGATCACGTAAGGAACCCAAAATTCTTTGGTTCACATCACTGTATGTACAGACTAATGTACAGATTGCTGTTCAGGTTATACCCTGCTTTTCACCCTATCCCTAGCACATCTGCAACCCTGAATGGAATGGATGGTCATCAGTAAGTACATAGGAGGACAGAAGAGAAACACAACAGTGAGTTTCTACAGTCATCAGTAAAAGATGGTGGAAACTTTGTCTTGGTTTGGGGTTACATGAGCTAGTTACGATGAGGATCTTGTTGAAAATATAATATGTGTTTATAATTTCAATCACTGATGAAATTATAAACAGAGAAAAGTACCATCAGACATTGATCTCTGTGCAATACCATCTGCAATGTATGGTTTGGCAGCAGATTTATTTTTCAGTATGACAGTGATCCCAAACAGACTGTCAATGAAGCATACCTGGATATAAAAACACACAATGGAGCACTATAAGTCATGGACTGGCCTCCCCAGAGCCTGAATCTCAGCATTAGTGTGGGATCATCTTGATCATCTTAATAGAGAATGGAAGAAAAGGCAGCCAACATCCAAAGAGCTTTGATTGTCTAAGAAGCCTCGAACTATTCCTTGACTCTTTAAATAAATTATGAGCAAGCTTGCCTAAGAGAGTTCAGGTAGTGTTGAAGGTGGTCATACCAAATATTGACTTTCAAGCTTGTTAGATTTGTACAATCTCCGATTTTGCCTTGTATACTGTATTTCCTTTTATATTTGCACATATCAATAAATCACCTCACATATTTCCACATTTCCAAGAAATATATAAAGAAATAAATGGTGGCTTGAGACTTTTGCACAGTACTGTAAATAATAAATAAATTAGCCGGCATTTTGCTGGTTGTCTGATATGCACCACTACCTGAATGAGTGATGAAATACATGTCACTGGAGTAGAGTTCCACCGGGAGGAGGCCCCAGGGCAGACCCAGGACACGCTGGAGAGATTATATCTCTCGGCTGGCCTGGGAACGCCTTGGTATTCCCCCGGACAAGCTGGAGGAGGTGGCTGGGGAGAGGGAGGTCTGGGCCTCTTTGCTTAGGCTGCTGCCCCCGCGACCCGACCCCGGACAAAGCGGATGACGATGGATGGATGGATGGATGGATGGATGGAGTAGAGTTCAGTAGCAGTGCAGTGTTAGAACAGTCATAAACCTTGAGATTCCCCTGCATAACCCTTCCCATTTTCATTTTTAAGGGTTCTTTAATTCTCTTAAGGATATTACTGACTGGAGTGAGATAGTCCAAGGATCACATTCCAGCCCTCAGGCCATATTTAGATGATATAGCTGCATATTCTCATGTGAGTGTAATAAGTACATTAATGGGATGAAATAGAAAACTGTTTTTATCCAAGGTCTAAAACTAAGACATGAACTAGAGTGGTGCAGCAAATACTGTGTGTAGATGTGCGAGTGAACCGAAACTGTAATTGTTTGATATTAGTGTGTGGTGGAGGTGTGGTCCCGGGCTCGGCTGCAGGGGTGGAGTGGTGCAGTGGGCTCAACGGGGCGGTGCTGGGGAGGCAGGTGAGAACACAGCTGGTGGCGTTTGGACTGATAACAGTCTTCTTTCCGTTTTTTTAGTGAGGCGGGAGAGGTGTGCTTAAAAAAAGCTGAGACCGGCACTGCATCAAACTGTGTGTGTGTGGAGTGCATTCTACGTAGTTCTTTTCTGAATTGACTGAAAATGCCCAATTATGGCTATAGCATCCTGAAAGCGGGGCTTAATTTTAGAGGTGTTTTATATACTTCTTTCCATCAACCACACTTGTGCCAGCTATTCATGCAGATGTCTGAAAAAAGTATGCTATGTATTTTGTGCATAGTTTTCAAGTAGATCATGCATCTCTTGAAACGGGGAAACGAGATGAATGCAGCATAATGATGGATGCAGATTAATAAGAAGGAGGTAAAACTGATGTGCCATATATTCATCACATTTTATAATGTTAAGTTTCACATGTGTTGGGGCTTATGTGATTCAGTCAGTGTGCACTAAAGTTCAAGAGCGCTGGCACCACAGTAAGCCCTTTCCTTGGGCTTATCACACAAAACCATAAATGTCCAGATGTCCAGTCATAAATTAAGTTTATTTACATCACTGAAACTTTCAGATCGTGAGGCAGGGTACAACCTGGACAGGTCAAAAAGTCAAATATAAAGGCCCCAAAATAGAGCCCTGTGGGATCCCATTACTGTTTGATTCCTATTTAATATGGATGGAACTAGTGAGGAGTATTGGCAACTCTGACATTTTATTACAAATTATAATTGGGACAACAACAAAAAAACTGACAAATGTTCTCAGAAATATTTTGACGACTTTATTTAATTACCCTACTAAAACGACAGATAATTTATAGTCTCATTTTTTCCATATTTTTTGGAAGATTTACTCTCACAATGGCACTTCAACTGGGTTTTTTGTTGTATTTTTTCAGGTATTATAGTGTGTAATTTACAACACAGGCAATTTTACTTTCAGTCAAGTGAGAAGTAGTTTTTACAAAAAACAAACAAGTAACAACATGAACGAATGTAAGAGACTACAACAACAACCAAACTAGAACATTAGCTGACAAATACACGCAGAATGAGATGTGAGGGGTGATGGTGAGACCCTGGTGTTGGGAAGTAGCCGGTCCCTGGACTGTGGCGGCCTGATTCACAACACCAGCTGTCCCGCCCCACCGTGTCCGTGTCAGCAGATGGCGCTCTGATGGGTAAAGTTTTTTTTTCCAGTGGGAAACTGAGAGGCAGTTCCACCTCATTGCATCCTCCCTGGGTGCACAGAGTCAGCTATGCCTCTTCTTCTCTCTCCTAATCTTCGCTACATCTGTGGCAGCTGTGAAAAAAGAAAAAAAGGAAGAAGATGCAAATTAGAATCCGAGGAAACCATCTGAGGCGAGCAGAGAGAGAGACGCCGAGACACGAGGGAACTTTCTCTGGGTTCCTCTTGTTGGGTTATCGTAAATCCAGACGTGAGCGAGATTCTGGGAGTCTCTGTCCCACCTCTCTACACCTGCCAGACATTAGACCACCCACAACCCCCGCTTTAGCTCTCCACAGCTCCAAAAACATCCTCTATGCAAATTTTATAATCACGCCACAGCGATGAAGTGCGTGTGTGTACGTACAGTGAAGAGGGGATATAAGCTTTTACTTAGCATATGAAATGAGTTGGGATTAGAGTGAGATAAAGAGCAGAGTGAAGAGCGGAGCGAGTATTACGAGCGGAGGGAGTGTTACGAGAGAGGTCACTCATAATTTTGCTTCTATGAAGCACTTTAAATCTTCCTGACTGCTCTCACAGGCTTTGGAACAGCACGCTGGGCTCGACTCAGTGATAAAGAACACCAGTGGTTTTATCCGTTATTGTGCACTTCAAATTAAAATGGTGGTGAATATCAGCATGATAAAAGAACATTAATGAGAGAGGAAGAATCACCTATCCACCCAGTCATCCCAAACCAGCGAGTCTGATTCCTCCAAAGTGTTAAACGTTTTCACTTTTCTAGCTGATGCTAATTTGTTCTGGAACAGACCCATTAAAGTAAGTCTGCAACTAGCTGTCATGTTTAATATAAATTAACCTTCCCATTATTTTCTTAATTAAACCATTAACAGTTTAGGAAACTGTGTAAACGTCACACAAATACCTACAATCAAGGTCAAAAATGAAGTGCTGTCTGGACTCCTCCCCCTTGATTAATAAACATCACTGTTTCACTCCTGGATCGCCCAGGCTGCTGCAGCTTATTTGATCTCTGCCTTAATTTGCTGACTTGGGAAAACTAACTTTTATATCCTGAATACTGTGCTCATAACAGCTTCCTGTGGGGGCTTATTTGGTGTAAAGCTGAGATGGAGAAGTAAAAGAAAAATAAAGCACTGCCTCTCATTCATCAGTTAAATGTTGCGACACATGGGAGGCTAAGCTAAAATCCAATTTCCTCAAGAGGGCAATAGGAAATATATGTACGCTTTCCTTCAAGTCTGCATCTTCAAATGACTATACTGACAGAGAAAGCGGTGTACGAGGAGTGTGTTCCCTTTGTGCGCGCTCTCTGCTTTCCTCTGTGTGTGTGTGTGTGTGTGTGTG